AGGTGGGAGGTCCTAGGTCTTACCACAGGGCAGAAAACCCTGACTGCTCTTTGGGCTGGAGAGGGAGGGGGAAAGGAGTGGGGGGAGGGGAGAAGGGTGGGAGGAGGGTTCATAGGGGGGGAGGAGGGGGAGGGATTGGGAGGCTGGGAGGAGGTGGAAACTTGTTTTTTTTTCTTTTTTTTCTCCTTTTCTCAATAAAAAATATTTACATTTAAAAATTTGGATAAATTGGAATTTCTGCTTTTTAAAAAATATTTCTAGAGCTCCTAAGAAACTCACATCTACAAAATAGTTTATAAGAACATTTCTCTGGCTTTCAGAAAAGGGAAGACAGGGTATACTGAGACATGACACATGATCAGTTGGACTTGGCTTCTTTCTCTTCTGCTTGAGAGTCAGGGCTCTAGTTTTTAGTGTCTCCCTTTTATGCAGGTAAATCTTTTTTTTCTTGGTTAGTCAACCCAACCTGTTTACATTTTGCTTTCCTTTCCTCTTTTGTTTCCACTTTTTTTGTCTGATTATTTATTTTGAGAAACATACTCTGCTATAAGAACATGTTGACTATCCTGCTACAATTAATCCCTTGATTAATGTACAATGAATAGCTAAAGTTATCAATTTTGAGCATATCCTTTCATTTAGATGTTTGCAGAATATTTCCGATGCTACCTTGGCAGGAGTGACTTTGTCTTGACAGCCTTGCAGGGGGACCCTTAGGCTCTTCCTTGGCCCTTCCAAGCTGACCTTTCTCTTGGTCATCATGTGGATGGGAAGGCCACCTGTGCAGCTGGAGAACTATATGGAACTAGATTAGAGTCATATCCATGACCCTTAGTTTTCCTACCACACTGGCCAGATACCCCAGCCTTTGGCGAAAGTGGCCCTGAAGTTATTTAAAATGTCATGCTTTCCTTTAGTCATTACTTTATGCATGTACCTATCAAGAAATATATTATAACATTATGCTCTATATAGTTTAAAAACTATAATAAAAATTCAGAGATTGAAAAGTAAGCAGAAAATATAAAATAGTTATATATGATAGTTAAATATATATAACTATCTTCTGCTTACTTTTCATATATATGGAACATAATTATATATATATATATATATATATGTACATATAAAGCTAAAATTAGAGAAAATATGAGATAAGCTATGTAGACTACACTGGCCTCAAACTCAGAAAGATCTACCTGCCTCTGCCTCCTGAGTGCTGGGATTAAAGGTGTACACTGCCAATAATGGTTGATATATTAGTTTTCAGGAAGCTAGGATCTAGTTATAGAGCAGTGGTTCTCAACCTTCCTAATGCTGTGACCCTTTACTATAGTTCTTCGTGTTGTGGTGACCCCCAGACATATAATTATTTTTATTGTTACTTCATAACTGTAATTATGCAACTTTTATGAATTGTAATATAAGTTTGCCAAAGGGGTTGCAACTCACAGGTTACAGCCATTGTTATAGAGCTTAGTTAGTGCTATGCTAGGTAAATAAATGGAAAAGTTAGAAGTGCTACTTAGTTTAAGATAGGGACCTGACTAAGAAACAAGATTAAGGAGAACTCATTTTTAGAGAAGTATAAACCTTCTCTAAAGGTTTCCCACAACACAGACACACAAACATACACTACATACACTTATGTGTGCGTGCGTAAACACACACACACACACACACACACACACACACACACACCTCAGAATAAAGGAGACTAGAGAAGCAAGGATCCAAGTTAAGGAGACACACTGAATGTTGGTAGCAGAAGCAGCAGTAAGAGACAACATGAAATAGAAAACTTAGTTTGGGGTGATGTGTATAGTAGGCCATTTAGCCTGTATCTTTAAGGAAATCATTTTGCTTAAAATAAGATTCTGATCTTCAGATCGGTGACTATCCTAATTGTTATCAGAGAACTCTATCCAGTAACTGATGGAATCAGGTTCAGAGATCCATGGCCAGTCACTGGGCTGAGCTCAGAAAGTCTTGCTGAAGAAAGGGATGAGGGATTATATGAACCTGGGGGTCATGACATGGGGACCCAAAGATAGATGACCAAAGCTCATGGGAATTCATGGTCTCTAAATCAACAGTTAGGGAGCCTCCATGGGACCAACCTAGGCACCCTGCCTGTGTGTGACAGTTGTATAGCTTGGTTTCTTTGTAAGACTCCTTGCAATAGAATCAGGACCTGTCTCTGGCACTTAGCTGACTTCCCCATACTGCATTACCTTTCCCAGCCTTGATGCAAGAAAAGGGGTTTGGCCCTGCCTCCATTTTATAGGCCATGACATTGTTCAAGCCAGTGGGAGGCTTGCTTCTTTTTGAATGACAACAAAGGAGGAGTAAGTCAGGAGGGGAATCTGGAGAAGAGGAGGGAAGGTAAAGTGTGGTTGATATATAAAATAAAAGAAAAATAATATTATTTAAAAAAGATTCTGAGCCAGGAAGTAGTGGCTCACACCTTTAATCGCAGCACTCGGGGATGTAGGGACAGGCGGATCTCTGAGTTCGAGGACAACTTGGTCTACAAGAGCTAGTTCCAGGATAGGCTTCAAAGCTACAGAGAAGTCCTGTCTCGAAAAACCAAAATAAATAAATAAATAAATAAATAAATAAATGAATAAATAAATATTCTGATCTTTAGAGTTTTGCCCCTAGATGTCTAGGTGAAGTAGTTATTGACTAGGGTAAAATTAACCTTTGTTTCCTTGGTTTCATCTTTTCCAAGGAGAAGGCAATCCCAGATCCAGATGACATTTTTGACCTCTGGAGAGGCAGCTGCTGTTTGAAAATCCTAGCCCATGCCTCACAGTCCTTTCCTTTGTGGTTCTCACTAACAACAGAAATAGGCTTAATTCTTTCTAAAAAGATTGATTAAATATTAAAGAAGAACATGCAAGAAATTAAAAAAAAATGAAATCAAGAAGTCTTGCCAGATTTCTTTAGCATCTTTGATATCACTGTCTCTGCAGTCAAATTATCTTCACCCCTTAATTCTCCTTTCCTCATAGATGCCACTGATTTCCTCTTCAAATCAAAATTGAGTCATACCAGCACCATTCCACTTAACTCTTGCAAGTCATTATTTGTACATAAATGGATTACCCTTTGCTGTATTGCCTTTTTCCTAATGCCTTCCCAGAATAAGTTCACTGGAAAGGTGACTGCGACTTCAAATTCTTAGTTTCTGATAACAGCATATACTGATGACTTCAAGGAGAAATCCCAGTTAGACTAGGGTAGTTCTGTACCCTAATTTAGCTTGGAGAGTTAACCTATTTATTAACAAGGGTTTTTCATAAAAATATAACTTAAATTTTTATTGGCATATACTAATTATATAATAGTGGTTTATTATGAAATTTTCATATATGTATATAATACATTTTGATCATATTTATCCTCCATTACTCTATTTTGTTTCCCTCCCATTTTTCCAACCCCTTTGTCCTTCCCAACTATTCATTACTTATTCATTCACTCATTAATTGATTTATTTCTTGATCTGTTTTTGTTTGTGTGGTGTTTCTGTGAGGAGCTCACAAGAGCTGACCTTTCCCTGTCTAAGATTATTTTGAGGAACTCAGCTGATTTCAAAAGAAGATCAAACAATAAATATTCTAAAGAATCCAATCCTGAGAAATGTTGTTCATAATAAAATACTAAATAAGTTGATAAAGTTTTGCTACATTTTCTTTACCTGTTTTTAAAATTTTTATTATTTTATCTTATTGCATGAACGTGTGTGTGTATCATGTGCTTGTGAAAGTCAGAAGAGGGAGCCTGATCTCCAGAAACTAGAGTTGAGGATAGTTGTTAACTACTGTGTAGCTTCTGAGTACTGTTAGAGCAACAAAGTGCTTTGAAACATTATGCTGTCTCCCCAGTCCATCATTATCATTTTTAAGTATCTGAAATGTTTGGTGACAAGGAAACTTGTATAGGCTTATGCCAGCATTTTCTAGATTTAACAAAGAACATTTGCTTTTGAAGCACATAACTTTAACATCCTACAAGGTACACAGAGTGTGTTTTTTTAAAAAATTAAAATAGAAAGTGGTTTATCTGATGCCATACAACTAGTTATCAAGTTTCAGTTTGGTATTTATTCTTGATTTCCCCTACTGAACTTCTAGTAAGTTTCTTAATGGATTTATAGATCATATCTTTTCACTACACACACCCACAGTCACCGATACACACCTGAACTCAACTGCTTACCTACACATCAAGAGCTTGACAAGTGACTGGTAAATAGTAGCTTCATGCTTTATACCTGTAAGAAATTGAAGCATTAATTATATACATTGGTTTCTGCATATGTTGTGTTCATTCATGCTTTTTCCATTTATAAAACAGAATTTTTGTTTTTTGTATAACTTCCATTGCCATTGCAATTTATGGATTTCCTTTTGGTTCTCTTATGCTTTTGCTTTCAGGAATCCATGGTCCTTGATTCATGATGTTTATAGGAAATAATTGTGGGCTGCTTTGCCTCAAGGATAATTTGATTAGGGGCACTGCCGTTTGACACCATTCAGAAAAATGTTACAGGATAAAGGGAATTGTACTTGTCATAGAATGACATTGAAGGGAAAGAAGAGACAGGCAAGCTAATAATGTGCTAGCCCGGTTATTAACATCAAGTCTTTGGCATTTTTGCCTGTCATCTTTTGTTGATAAGGCTGTCCTCCAAAAAGATAAGCGTGTGGCCAATTTAATGAGTTTTATTTGGCAAGGGCAAAAACTAATACCAGAAAAAGAAGGTCATAGTTAAGTTGGTATAGACAGCCCATGCTTTCCAAAATTGTACTTCTGTCCTCTGAGGTTAGGTATCTGTGATCCATAAAACAGTTTTGTCAGGGAGTGAGATTAGAGTGCATTGAAATGAAATGCTCACACTGACTACATCAGCTATAATGGAGCTTATCTGATATAGTGACTCAGCCTTTGTGAATCTGACTCCATATATGCTCTGTTTTGTACAGAGAATCATCATCCAGGACCTGCCAGAAGCCACAAGAAAAAAATGGGGAGGGGTAAGTTTCTCTTCCCTTTTGAAATGATTTTTATTCGTAATAGTAATCTAGCATTCCAGGGAAATTGAGACTAGAAATATGTTTGTAGGTACTTAAGTTGTATTTTTTCTTGGTGATAGAAAATTTGGTCTGATTGAACACTGTGAATAAAAAGACCAACATACTATGTGTTACTCACTGGTTCTTTTATTTTTTTTTCTGATATTTGGTTTTCTTTTTTTTTAAGATTTATTTATTTATTATGTATACAACATTCTGCCTCTGCCTGCATGCCAGAGGAGGGCACCAGATGTCAGTATAGATGGTTGTGAGCCACTATGTGGTTGCTAGGAATTGAACTCAGGACCTCTGGAAGAGCAGCCAGTGCTCTTAACCTCTGAGCCATCTCTCCAGCCCGATATTTGGTTTTCTTGTTGCTAGTGGTGGTGGTGTGTGTATGTGTTTGTGCACGTACACATGGATATACATCTCCCAGGACAGAGAGAAATAGTTCAAGTTTGATATTATATAAATGTTCCAAATTCCAACTTCTTTATAACTCTTTCCAACGTTACCCACAGGCCTTGATGCTATGAGTTTTGCTAATAGTAACAGAAATTGACTCACTCAGTAATTAAAAACTCTTAATTTACTTGCTGCTCATTCAGGGACCTGGTTTTGTTCCCTGTACCAACACTTACAACTGACTATAACTCTGGTTTCAGGAGTTCCAATACCTGTTGCTTCTGTGGGCATTTATGTGCACATTGAACACAAACTAATTCAGGCACATGTATATACACATACATAAAAATAAATTAATAAATATTTTTATTTTTTTTCTTGAGAGAGGGTTTCTCTGTAGCTTTGGAACCTGTCATGGAACTAGCTCTTATAGACCAGGCTGACCTTGAACTCACAGAGATTTGCCTGCCTCAGCTTCTCCAGTGCTGGGATTAAAGACGTAAGCAAGCCCAGCTATATTTTTAAATTTTTTCTAAAATAAATTAGCACAAATAAAAAAGCTCTTTTTATGTAGCAGTGTTTTTTGTTTCTTTTAAAATGAAAATGTCAACAATAAAAACCATTACATGAATTCTTTGTGCTTGTTTTTGCTTTTACATGAAGTTATTAGAGTCAGACAATAGAGAAATTTAGGGTCATTTAATTTCTAATATGGACTATGCATATTAATGACTTTATAATAATTCTAGTACATTCATATCATTAAAGCAACATGCTAAGCTGTGTGGCGGTGGCACATGCCTTTAATCCCAGCACATGGGAGGCAGAGGCAGGCAGGCAGACAGATCTCCGAGTTTGAGGCCAACCTGGTCTACAAAATCAATTCCAGGACAGCCAGGGAAACTCTGTCTTGAATCCCTCTCCAAAAAAAAGCAACATGCTATAAAGGGTGTTAAGGAAATATGCTTTATAGAGTACTATACTAAGATACATAAGAACCCAGAGATTAAAAACCTGAAATCAAGTTCCATAGCCATTACTTTAGTTAAATCTTAAAGTTTCCTGATATGGGATTTTTTTTTCATCTCTGAGGTAGAATTAATGCATCCTGTATTTCCAGCCTCAAGAAGATGTGGTTAGCATACTGTGATAATATGTGCAAGTATATAAAACTGTAAAGTCTAATAACATAGGACAGTGGTATCAACTTATTGCAATGTTTATTGAATAAATATATCTTTATTGGTACTTTTAACAGTCAAACTGAAATTATTGGATCAGATGCTTTTGAAAGCAACAGATATTAGAGTGTGGTTGTGCAATTTACCTAGAGTTCTGCCTTAAGTTGCTTGCCCCATCATAATTTGTGTCTATATGCAGCTGCCACATCACAGATCACTCATAGGAATTCTTTCTGCACCTTGTTGCTTCTGCGTGCTCCAGAGCTTCCTTTGGAAGCTGTTTTGTTTTAGACATACTGGTTCTTTCTAAACCTTTAGATACCGATCTCCAACCATTTACATTTTTTTTAAAATAAGTAAACATTGTAAATAAATACATTAAGACGTATTCCTAGGATTAATCCATGTTTGTAGTATCCTAAATTCTGCTGTCAGTGGAAGCTTCCAGAGTATTTCATATTGCTTAGTCCTCGCCCCAACTACCAAGCTACAAGCAGGTTTAGAGAATGCCCTAGCTGTTGTCTTCCATTGTCACCATATGAAAGAGAGCTACACTGTCAAGGAACCTATTATTTCTTGTTTCTTCTTTTACTTTCAAACTGATCATCAGTCACTAACAAAGAGATTGTTAGGGGCCTCCTTTAAAAGATGCTGGAAAAATAGTGATTCAGTGCCCAGGCACTTAATAGAACAGGACTTAGTAATGCAGTCTGCAAAGATGGGCATATTTCCAACCTGGAGACTGAAAAAAGGAAGTGCATCACATAATGTTGTTTTTACAAATCCAGGAAGCTTGTGATAGCTGTTTTTTGACTTCTGGTGGCTACCACTTTGAAAACATTTATGTAAATGTAAACGAGACACCATCCTTTATTCTTTAAACTTTGCTGTGGTTTACTTGATTGTATTATATTTGCTTGATTAATTGCTGATTCTTTTAGTGGAAAGAAGAGAATGGTACGATATGTGCTTATGTTTTTCTTTTTTGAGTGTTGTATATTGAAATTTTTACTGCATTTGATAAACATTCTCACAAACAAAACTCAGTATGTCATACAAAAGGACACAATTGCAAAGATGGCATCATACTTGTATGAGAAATTTACATTGAAGTTAATTTATTTTGCTATTCTTTAATAAAGACAAATAAATATTTTACAAATATATGAAACTTTTATTAATGAACATGAAAGTTCACAAACTTTAAATCTTTAAAAGGAGGAACAGGCACTATGTGTAGTTCAGTTGCTAGAGCGCTTACCTAGCATGTACAAATCCTTGGATTTATTTGTTCCCTGGCATTACATGAGCCGTTGCTACATGTCCATATTCCTAGTACTTGGGAAAAGAAGGCTATGAACCAGGTATTCAGGATTAACCTTGAACATATAGCACGTATGAAGCCAGTCTGTACTTCATGAGACAGCAACACAATAAAATGGGAGAGCAGGTAAAGAAAAGGCATGCATATTTAATTTTTTATTTGATTATAATCAGTATTTACAGTGTTTATTTGTGTAGTACTGAAATTGCTTTTACTCTTTATGATGTCTTTAATCGAGACTTACTATTTAATATTCAAGAATTTGTAGTTATTTTTATATTAATAAATATTTACAGTACTTTGTAACTCACAGATGTTTCCTCTGACATTCCTTTTTATTTATCTTGTGCTATAAGAAAAACTCATGTTATAAAATAAGGATAACCGTTTCCATTAATATATTTATCTGTAAACTGAAACTGATTTAGAAAATATATATAATGAATAGCCTATAAACAGTTTATATATTAGAGTGCCAAGATGCAGAACTAGGTCTTATATTATCATAAGTTTTCATTTCTTCTGATAAACTCTGAATATCCTTTATTATTAATTATTAGTAATATGTGAAGTTGATTACATATAAGCCCTCTGTTGCTGAGAAAATTATTGATTAATTATTTTTTTCAGATCTATAGTGATGCTTTAATATCATGGAGAAATAGACGAATAGTCAAAGTGAAATAGCTAAGTGTCCTAATATTTTTGGTGACAGCAAAAATCACACAGGTGTTTCAGATAGCAAAGTATCACAAATATAAAGATACTATAATCAACAATGGCCTGAGCTTGCAGTAATTCACAGACCAGCAGCACAGCTTATCAAAGATCACAGCAGACATCAAGACATTTCACTTTGTAAACTTTGCTCTAAACATTCCACAAGGGAAGGGCCATAAAAGAAAAGACTCAGTCAGCACTATTTACCTATCCTATGTGAAAGTGATCCTTTTGACTAAAGACCTTTTACTCTTGTATCTTTTCTTGAAACAGACTATAATGTGTCATTTAACCTAAAATTTTATGACATGAAATGATGAGATGCTAGTTCAAAAAATGTGTGATTACATGTAAACTTCTGGTAGAAAATTAGCATTTTTACAAAGAAGAGAATGAGAAGACTTTACTTTTTCAAGTGAAACTTAAAGTTTTATTTTTATGATTCTTCCCCTAAGCAATTAGTACATTTCTAACAAAATTTTAGAAAACACAATCCTCTTAATAATGTCTTTATCCATAAAACAAATTCATTTTTTACTGTGATTTTTATGACAATCTGCATTCTATTTGTTAGATACATCTATTGATATGATTTTTTTTTCTGTGCTAGAACTTATTGCATCTATAAGTGCTTTTGCAGTAATTTGTTGTATCTATTTGTTACTCATGGCTAATTTCCATGTTTTCACCTTAAGAACAGAGGTGCTCTCCTACTAGGGCAGCACAATAGAGCCAACCTTGTTAGCACAGGTGTGGGGGAGCCATCCTCATTATCAATCTGCTTTATGCCAGCATGTGTGGGGTAGAGTTGACCACACCTCCCTACCCTGTTGCCATGAGGGCAGTTCATGACCCATTCCAGCTGGAGCACTCAGACCAGCCAGCCCTGCACCTTGCCAGAGCAGCACAATAGAGCCAATCCTGCTGGTGCAGGTGTGGTTGAGTCAGCTCCAAAATTGTGAGCATGGCAGAGCTGTCCCCATTACCCACCTGTCTTGTAGAAGCATGGCCGGGAGAGAGATAACCCCCTTACCCATCAATGACTGAGACTGATAGTAGAGGTGACCCTGTGGTTATAAATGTGGGAGAGCTGTTCCTAACCACCTCCTGCTACAGCACTCTGGAGAGCAGGCCTTTACTCCTCATCAGGGCAGCACAAGAGAGCCAACCCTGTCAGTGGAGGTGTAGGTGAACCAGCCCCAAAGTAGTGAATAAGAGAGAGTTATCTCCATTACTCATCTATCTTGAGGTGGCATGAATGTGAGAGGAGTTGCCACACCCATCAACACCTGTGGCAGATGGCAGAGCTGGCCCTCTGGTCATAGGAACAG